ATAGACGATCTCTCTACGCGGAGGTAATGCCTGCCGTTGCCTGCTATATCAAACTCCACTGCGACCGCCACCATCCCAGTGAATAACAACACGACAAATAGCCGACATCGCACGCAGAAGGATATTCATGCTGACACTACAAAGTGAGGTAGGTTGTACTCGTTAAGGTTTGGACGATACACACCTAGGTTGAGTTTGTTTTATCTGCCAGATAAGTTGATACGACGTATACGCTGGTGGCGGTAGTGGCTGCTCGTACTGAGCAGAAGAACGTCATACGAACTCACCAAGTTAGTACTACATTTCCGAAGATCCACGGATGGGTATTGTACGGTGAAGTGAAGAATGATGTTGGCACGTTTCCGATTATCTTGAATGGTTTATCACAAGCTGCTGACCTGACGATTGGCGTGCTCCTGACGGACGACAATGATTGGACTCTCGTGGACTAAAATAGGAGTACTTGCTCTTGCATGAATCATCTTGTATGATTGCATCCCCATAAATGGGACTAGCCTCCTCCTCGGCAGATGCTGATTCAGCATCTGCTTGTGGAAGGGCGACCTCCTGCCGACCTTCCTCTAACCCTTCCAACACCGGCACCTCCCCATCCATTACTACTATCATCTCTCCCTGCTCCTCAACAGCTACCTCTTCCTCCCTAGCCACTACAGTCATGCCCTCCTCCTCCTCCGGTTCCAACTTCCTCTCACCTTTCTCGTCCCCCTGCTCTCCCATAGTTTGTCCTTCTCTCATCTCTTCACACACCAACTCATTGCCATTGTTCACTACCATTACTGCCTCCTTCTCTTCTACCACAATTCCCTTTTCTTCCTCCCTTACGACCGTTCCCTTCACTGCCTCCTCTACCACCATTTCCTCCTCTTTTTCTACCCCCAATCCTTCCTCACCATGTTCTCTCTCCACCTCATTCCCCATTTCCCCACTGCTTTTCCTACTACTCCCCTCCACAACATGCCTGTGTGTGATAGGTGTAGGAGGAGGGAGCTCGGCAGTTAGGGCCTCTAAGGCCCGTCTCCCCGCAGCCTCTTCCTCATCACCAATAGTCGGCAATGGTGCATCCGGATTCAGCACGCCTGTCCGCCTCTCATCCCATACAGCCTGGTAGAGCTCCTGCAGATCATCCAAGTATATCCGTCCCGTCTCCTCTGGATCCAGTTCGTCCAATACTATCGCATAGAACTCCTCCGAGAGAGGACTACGCAAACCGTGGAACCTGACCAAGCCCCATGAGATCAGGAACATTACAAATGATTCATCCTATAGCTGTTTATCATGCAAATTCATCATCGATTCAACCAATGTGCGGAGTATGTACATGATCTGTAACTCCGGATCTTCTTGTTCCACCAGAGATATGAGATACATCAATCCCCACTTCAATCAACAGGCTGAGTACTCTACCTGTTGATTATGGCATCTATTAACGGTAATGACTTGAGTACTGAAGAAGTGGGGAGTGATGTATCACGTATCTCTGGTGGA